AATACCCTGGTGTACAGGGCGACCATTGTCCATTGTGTTTACCTCTGACCTGGAAGTGTGACCTTGATCATTGACAGAGACACTTTAGTCTGACGATGAGACATTCAGTGGTAGTCTCATCACACATCTACACTTTACGGATACTTAAACAAACGGCAAACCCAAAGCGTAACATGTCTAATTTCTACCACGTGTAACTTATGATTATCAAGGGGATAGTGTCTTTGACGAACAAGTAAACAGAGAGAGAGAGAGAGGTGGTGACGGGGAGCATGTGATAGTGTTCAGGTCACCGGATCCTTCACCTAGCCATGACAAGGCTTGGTCGCGTCCCATCTCGCACTTCTACTAGCATCGTCAGTAATATTGCTCTCGACCATATGAACACCCTCGGGTCCACACAGACCAGAGTGACTCACATAACCAGAACTATAAACACCTAATATATAAATCATTAAGACTTGGCAGTATGAAGACTTATGGTAATAAAGATAAATATATTAGCAACGTGTGTCCTGCTGTCAGCTTGTCAAACATTGCCCAGGTGAATATTCCTCGTGACGGATGGCATAAGAATGCACCTGAGTGAGCGACAAAAATAACGTCTAAAAACATCACCTGGCGCTGTGTATCATTTACCGAGTCTCTGTGTAATGTTGATCCTCATTTTTTAACCTTATTTCTGTGCTTTACTTCTGTCAATCAGTTACATACATTCTCCCATGTTCATTACGAGGAATATTCATCTTGTGAGACAGAGGGAGGGAGGGTTCAGGTGAACCGTGGAGGGGTGAGGAGGATGTCTTACAGCCGCCGGCGAGTGTGTGGTTAAACTTTCCGGCGCCCAACACAGGATAATGGAGTCTACATCATGACTAATTTCTCACAAGGTCAACATATGACTAAATCTCCATTCGTGATACCAACTTGCTCAACGCACACGCACGCACGCATGTGTATACATACTTAAGCGTGCACGCACACACACACACACATACATATATATATATATATATATATATATATATATATATATATATATATATATATATATATATATATATATATATATATATATATATATATATATATATATATATATTAAGTGGAAATGTAATTATGGCATTAAATATAATAAGTATTCATTGTATACGCAATTACGTAATTAAGAATAAACAGGACAAGTTAGGTAACGTTACGGATGATCAATTCATTAAATTTAAGGTAAATTTTTATCTTACATAAATATATGTAAACTTTAACGATATTATCACACAGTAGTACAGGGCGAGGTACAGTACAGTAGGTATACAGTATATAAGTCGTACATGTAAACTCAAATTACGGGGTCTGAGACTAATATTTTAGGTGACCATAATCTTGACCTCTGACCCATTGACCCCTAGAATCATTAAGAAGCAATATGACGGTCACTATATGATCCGTGGAAACTCAAGTTATACGTAGTTCAAAAAACGAAAGTAAAATAAGAAAAAAGTTAGTTGGTTTGGCCAGATGTTCAGATAAATTACAACCTCATCCAGATCATTTTCACTAGATACAAAATATGTGAATAGTAAAGGAATTTGATCCTATGATCATTTATCCAACCCTGACTGTTTGTTGTGTCGTGGCGGTGTGGAGGGTGAGTGTCGCTTCCTGTCCGTCGGGGAGTTGTGTGGCTGGTGCAGGAGACCGTATACCACTACACTGACACCTACTACAGGTCGATGGGATCCTGGCAAAGATTATCAGTGGGTTCCTGGCTTGTACCCTGACAACGAGGATGTATCAAGTGGCGTGGGACAACACCCTGTTTATTTTATCTCACCAAGGTGGACTATGTGTTTACCCTCACACTAGTGATAACCAAGTGCACTTTCCTTTTAGGTATTCCTGTACTTGTTGTCGTTATATGATGGCTATTTCTGGCTATTTATTAGTTTGTTTATATTCCTATTAAATATGGGTTAAGGAGATGAGGAAATATTATGCTTGAATATATAGGTAAACATTACTTCATGGTTTGGGAATAAATTAGATATATTTTACGTTCAGTTCCATAAAATCAAAATAGATTCATCCTAAATTAACCATCCAAGACTTTCCTGTACGTCCATGTGAAATAATACGACAGAAAAACGTAAACAAAAACAGAGGAATAAGTTGAAAAGTGATGTAATCCGCCTGTAAACTTTTCACCGTCACAACAAGCATAAACTGCTTCTGTGATCAACTGTTAACTCTGGCTTATTTATAAACATAATAATGAAGGGGACAACAGTGAGCCTCTTGTTTGTTCATGCGGGGTCCACCTCTTGTTAACACCCAACCCTTGGGTTCATATCTAGGAGTGTGAGTAACAGAACTGCTGACGTTATCTTGAAACTTTACCTAGCATTAGTGAGGCCACACATGGATTATGCGGTTCAATTCTGGTGTCCTTATTATAGAATGGACATAGATTCTTTGGAGAGAGTATAAAGAAGAATGACAAAAATGATCCATAATATTAGAAACCTTCCATATGAAGAAAGACTGAAAAGCTTAGGCTTGCATTCATTAGAGAGGCGTAGAGTTAGGGGAGATATGATAGAGGTGTTCAAGTGGGTAAGTGGGATTAACAAGGGTAAAATGGAAGATGTTCTGAAGCTCAGTAATAACGAAATAACTAGAACAAATGGCTTTAAATTAGATAAATTTCGATTCAGAAAGGATATAGGCAAGCACTGGTTTAGTAATAATAATAATAATAATAATAATTAACGGTTTATTGAAAGAGCTTGGCAGCCAGAAGGCTGAAAATATACAGTTACATATTTGGGGAATGGGTTACGAATTACAAATAATATACAAGTAACATAAGTGACACAAATAAGACATATAATAACTAGATGGGGATCAGCTCAAACTACAGGCTACCGAGTGCTATAGTAGGATCGGGGACGCTAGGGAGCTTCAAGACGAAGTTGGATAGGCACATGGAAGTGCTGGGATGGGTGTGAAAGGGATCTGCCCTGTATGGGCCAGTCGGCCTCCTGCAGTATCCCACTTGCTTATGTTCTTATATGTTCTTATGTTCTTATCACTGGTATATCTGTCCAACTTATATTTAAAACTAACCAACGTGTTCGAGTTGATGGTGGTGTTCGGTTGCTATTACTTGTTTTTCACTAAATCTCTATCCGAACTGTATTGTTTTACCCAATTCCTTGCTAAATTTTCAATCTAGTTTAAAATCATCGGTAAGTGTTCGCTTCCGTATTGTATTGTATTCACGCATTGCTGTCTACGTCGCTGAGAGGTTACTGAACATGTATTGGGCAGATTAGAAACACCCTCCAAAAAAATTTCCCAAGACACACACACACACACACCTGTCCCGCTACTACACTCGTGACTCACCTTAGCTCACACGTTACGTCATATCTCGGCAAAGTAGTGGTGAACTGTTGCCGCATAACAAATATATACAGGTCAGTATATTGATCATTAAATAGTAGAAATAATACATATATTTCGATAACTCCATCACTAATACTTATTAAGTGTATTAAGGAAACTACACATTGTATACAGAAAAAAAAGTGTATTTCAAGGACAAGAGAGGAAACGTCTTTTATATAGCAAAACCTGAATAATCATAAAAATATCTATCATTAAAAAATATCCTTGATAAAAATTGTTCCTGAGTTGTTGGCTTCCGTTAACACCAAAATTCTTCGTTGTTTGTTCAAAAATGTTCACTGCTTCACATTAAATAGTAAAGAGAGCTTAGTTGTCTTACACTTCACACTTCTTGTTCACTTACGTTCACCCAACACGTGCATGTACTGTACTGTATGTAAGTTTGTCCTCTATCAGTTCATGTGTAACTTCAGCTCACGTGCAATACAGTAAGCGGTGTTTAGTTTCTTAGTCTGCTGCCCAGTGTTTGTCGTGTCCACTGTCATCGACTGGCTGGCTTAAACTTTTTGTTGTCTTGTAATTTTGACACACACACACACACACACACACACACACACACTGTATCTCCGTGAACAATTTAAATCAACAAAATAATACACCATAAAATATAAACACCACACAATCATGGCTGCTGATTTGGTGAGACTGGAGAGAAAGGTTTAGGGACAGGTTTCGCCTTAGGCTTATTCCAGGTGGTGGTGGTGGTGGTGGGTCACTTACGGGAGACCTTTGTGTTGGAGGAGCTTTACTGTGCTGTGGTAGCCTGGAGCGTCGACACCCACTCCAGACTGTACGGAAGTTGTCTCTCTTGTATGGATGGCAATGTACACTACTGCTGGGGGGGGGGGTTATTCTCTGTTGGGGGTGATTACTTTCTATTGGGGGTGATTACTCTGTTGGGGTGACTACTGTTGGGGGTGATTACTTTTACCCTTCAACTCTCCTCCGTTTATTAGTAATTAACATCGAGAACATAACGAAGTAAGAAAAGACCCAAAGAAATTAAGTTGATAAAAGAAGATAATATTCAACAACCGCTTTAAAACTGATAATTTCATAATTAAACAAAAACCGAACTTTCCCAAACCTGTTCTCTTCGTCCCTTGTATTTTTTTTGTTGACCTTTCGTATTTGTTTATTTGAATTATTCGACAACACTCACGAGAACACCTTCCATATTGACACCTTTTCGGTCATACTGTTAGGTATTTAATGCAGCCAATTTGTTCCGAGGTTTATAGTGTATAAACATTAACGCTGTACTTCCGGGGATCGTATGAGGTGCTGTAATTAGGAGCTGCAGTTACATGGCATCTATATGCCACCTGACGCACTCATGTTGCAATATAAAATGAATTGGCTTCCGAACTAACTTAACTAAACTCTAGTCAGTGATGAAAAATAAAAATAAATACAGAAAACAATTGGGAAACTGACAATATAAAACCTAATAAACCTAAACCTGAGGAATTAAGACACATGGTTAAGTGTGGTGATAATAAATACAAGTAAAGCACGTAATGATTCCTCACCTGAGACCTCGGACGATGTGTCTGAGATTTGGGTCCGCCTTGTAGAAATGAGGAAACGAGAAGCCCACTGAGGCGCCCCAGTAACACGGCTTCATGTCCAGGATCCCACTAGGGGGACATCCGCCCCTGCTACAGAAGCAGGCGTTCTCTGGGTTTTTGACACCGTAGTCAAACACGTCGTCAGGCGGCACGAAGCGATAAGCATCAATACCAGATTGGACGACAGTTTCGTTGTACACTAGGGGTATCGCCCGACAAAGCTGGCCATTGAAAATGTATAATTTGTCTTCTTTCGACACCCCGGGGGCAAACCCGTTGGCATCGGTGCCCCGTATCTCGTTGCAATGATCGCCACTCCAAAAGTCAAGTGTCTGCCGCCCGTTCCAGGCGATGATCTGGTTCATCTTCGTAGCGTCACCTTTGCCCGTGTGCATAGTATATGGCTCCTGCACCGAGTCGTTGAACCCCACCAGCAGCCCAAACAGCTGGTGAGGGTAGGGTAGCTCCTGGAGGGTCCTCGCCCAGTCCATGACCTCCGACTTGTAGCCCCACAAGAGCTCCCCAACAGTAAGTTTTCTTAGCGTCTGGAAGTTATGGAGTTTCTTTGCCACCTGGATGATCACGCGTAAGAATCCTTGGTCTTTGACAGCATCGGCGGCGTTCACAAAGGGAATGTTGACCGATACAATAGTGTCTTCCTCCGCGCCAGACGACATCTGGGGCTGGAAGAAGTACATGGGTCTGGAGCGATAAGAAACAGAACCGTTCTTATGAAACTCGATCTCTTCCTTGCTCTCCTTCATAAGGTAGACGTATGGTCCCAGCTCCTGCACCCTCGGTCTGGCGCCGGCCATAAACTGGCTAGGGTTAGTCAGGTTGAAAACATGTACCCGGTAGTACACTGGCACGGGCGTGTCTATCCACGACTCGTACTTCTGACTACCCTGACGTAGCACCATCTGATCCACAGCGACGGAGTGCACTACGGTGTCATAGCCGGCCAGCATGAAAATAACAGTGGCAGCACACCACAGCGCCACCATCCACAAGCAACACCTACACCGTGCACTTCTGTTCATCTGCTCCACAACATTCCTCATACGGGTGGTGCTGTGAATGTCATAGTTTTCTTCCGACAATTTCCCCATCTTGACTAAAAGTCTGACTGTCAGATTATAAAAAACCAACTAACACGAGATTATATAAAATTCACTGGCATTTCTTCGTGTTGGTTATAAACTACAAAGGGAATGTCGCTGTCTTTGTAATCTTTCAACGTTGAACTTAGTCATTTTGCAATGCATTTCTCGAGCAAGTCCAGTCGTAGGTAGAAGTATTTTTTGTTGTCATTCAGCGATGTCACTCGGTAATACCAGAGTTTGCACCGGTACTTCACCTCTAAAAAATCACCAGATGAATGGCAACATACACCCCGTGATCCCAGGGTCAATGTCAGTCTCCTCTCACATCACGAGGGCGGTTCTGGTCACTCAAGATTTTCCTTGGAGGTGGTCAAGAACTGAACTTAAAGAGAGAACTCAGGTTACAAAATTCTCATTAAATATCTTTAAAATGTATTATCCATAAGTCCCATGACAGAACATGCATTTCAACTTGTCTAATGCTCAATGTCAACGAATTGTTACGTTTAAGATTCTGACATAACGCACAAAATAAATATGATTTTAACATTCAAGAAGGTTGGACAAACACTAACACCATCCCAACACAATTCAGACTAGCGCTCACCCCGCGACGCCTGATGCTGTGTGAGGTGTTGTCGTACAGGCAGGATCACAGCATCACTGTTGATGGGCATCGATGTCATTATAATACTATTATACTTGATATATATGAAATATTTAAACTAATATAAGCCATAGTCGATAAGTTTGTGAAATATTCCAAATGAAAATGAAATTAATACGTAATCATTTTCCTTGGCTCGTGTGTCTGGCAGGGGTCAGGACACACCGGCCAAGTAAACATGCATAGTATTTTTTTCTTCAGATATATTTATACCTTAACATATAACAGACAGTTAAAATTATACTAAATCAGGACAGATTATAGCTTTTCACAACTTCATGAATTATTTTGGTTCTATAATTCCAAATAGAAGATAGAGAAAACAACGAGGAAAATGGAACTAAGTAACCTCGTCACCTCGGAGACTCCACCGCCTGGGGTCATTTTCCTTAGACCACATTCTTCTTACCTGATGTTTTATCAAATTCATTCAATTTCGTCTCAAAGAAAATATATCATACATAACTGAACCAGTGCCATATCCACTTGCTCGTTGTTTAAGAGTCGGTGCTTCACTAGGGTAATTTAAACATGAAACGGTTATTTACTTTAATAGACAAATAAGCTAACTAACAACTCAACAGTCTGCTGAGAATCTGAATATAAATGAATTGCCTTCTACATCGCATATAAATCACTATTATATTTACATTTTAAAAGTGTATTATTAATAGGTGATGTGTATTGAGTGTCTAATAGTCCTGGAGTTCTGTAGTCATGGGTAAATAATTATACTTGACTCATTAACCAAAATGGATGTTACAAATAATTTAAAACGTACTTAAAAAGAAAGACTTTACGTATATGTACAGGGTTAAATTTATTCACGAGCTGTACTCCGTGAGCCCCTGGTTTAAAATGTTAACATGTTTTACAGTTTATGTCTCTGAAACACGCCAGAGTGAACGTATTCCTAGCACTACGGCATCATAGGCCAAACCAAAACCCATTATCCGTCTCTTAATACTTCCTAAACGCTGCATGTATTCTTTAATAATAACTTAACTTGTTTTATAATACTGTATTAACCTGTAAGGTCATTTTAACTTAAGGTATAACACTAGTATAATCTCTGCATTACGGCGATTTAAATGCATCACAAGTGACGTGCGGTGTGAGATACCTGGACAAAAGTCATTTCATAAAGGGTCGTTCAGTTAATATTCCTCGTGACTGAAGATTTAAAGGAGTATTCTAGGTGGTTAACTACAGCTAAAGTACAACAATAACTTCCATCAGTATTACAGTGACACGTTAATTTAACTAGACATGTTCATTAAGCGTCAACTAGTTTATTAGATAACGTTCACGTGTATGAATTTCTTAAGACTGTTCGTTAGTTGTGTTTGGTGCCAAGTAATCATTTAGAGTGTAGTTTTGAGGATATTTTGGGGGACATCCTCTTCTGCTTTAGTTGAGGTGAACCACTTATGTGCACTCTTACATCTTCAATTAGAACAATATTCATCTTAGGAACCTTTGACACTGTACCCAGCTGGCAACTGATACCTCTCCATCCCACATCCGCAAATCGTCACAAGCGGCCAACATGTATGTTCTGGCATTCCACTGTATAAGTAAACTAAAATTTTACTTTTCTTATGTTGCTATTTTCTGTTTCAGTTGTCGTTCATAAAGTAAACATACAAGACACGGCAAAGTTAATGACATCATTAAACGAAGTCAGGTCATCGCTCCTTACACGGTGAACCCAGATCCTGAGACTCGATGGATCTATCTAATTTCTGGCAACCACTCAGATGGGATCATAGTGTCGACTGGCAGGGCAGCAGCCACCTGGTGTGGGGTTACAGATGCTTTCCTTCCAGTATTTACCTGTAGAGCAGCCAAATAAGAGGGAACAGCTACCCTCAGTGAGACCCGGAAGAACTTGATGTAAAGGGGACTTACCCTAAATGTTGTTTCGCCTCAGTAGGGTGAGTGAGTCTTTACTTCTTGTGTGACAGTGGTCGTTAAACTCTCGAATAAATGGGCTTCAAAGTTATTAAGACACCAGAAGCTCCCGAGCGTTCACCTACTTATATTCCAGCGCCTCAGTGTAAATCAAAGGGGCTGACGCGCCACGAGTATCCATCCTTGTCCACCGTCCATTGAAATTTAAACAGTTTAGTTAGAATAATACAGACCGAAAATGAACAGCAATATTACCACTGACACGACTGAGCCTTTCGGGTGCTTTCGTGATTTTTGGTGTGCAGGTCATGTAACAGTTATCCTGAATAGTATTGAATATATATCAGCGGCCAGTGACCTTTTTTAGTCCATGGTCATTCATATCACCATCACGATGTTCAACAGTGTATTTTTGTTTTTTGTTGTTTCCATTTGTTAACATTATGGCGGCTGCAGACTGTGGTCATGAGTGATTTTCTAAAATAATTTAGCCGAGCGAGGCGCCATGAACCTCATCGTGAGTGCTGGCGATGCGGGCACCACCGGCTCTCCCTCCCACACTAAACCAACTTTAATTGTAACATGAGCACTCAAGGTGAAGTGTGTGTTGACGAGTGGTGCTGGACCCCCCCCCCCCCACACACACACCACAACACTCTTATCTTAACAGCTAAACCGGATTTATAGTCGATCAACCAACACGTATACATAAACAAACGGGTTAAGACGAACCACTGAGCATTTTCTTTGTAATATTATTTTGTTTTCCTGTTTGCTGACGGTGCTCCTCGACTGTATCATTGTTCCAGCGAGTATAATATTGGTGGATTTCAAATAACAGCCGAAGGAGATGTAAAAGGCATAAAATAAACTCAGTAAGGGTGAAAGCATCGTGGGGTCGTGTTACAGTGCAGGCTGGTGGGCTGGGATTATAACGGCCCGGGCGCCCCTCTGGTGAAGTAACCGATCTCTTATGTAAAATTCACTGCCTGTGTCCGAGTGTTTAGCAGCGCGTCCTTCATGACGGCGGGAGACTTGCTGTATTGTTTTACCCGAGTTTCTTTTTTTCTCTTTCTCCTCCAATAGGTTTACCTACATATTTTTGGGATTATAGGACTGGTCATAATAAGAGTGGGTGGTGGACTTGCATGTTTGCGTAATAAGAATAATAATAATGTGGTCAAATGAAGCCGTAATTCCTCTCTACAACTAAAATAATTTTCATCGTGGTTTAGCGGGTAATACTTGACTTGATAAACCACGAAAAGAATCGGTTCTTTTTTACGCCTCAGTCGACAGTTGACTTGCAATACAATATCTGTGATACAAATTATCCATAATACTTCACTGCCTTGCCAACGAGTGCACAAACGGGGAATAGCAGGGGATATCATTTCCGCCAAATAGAGAGTGACAGTCGCGGTGGATAACAGCAATTACCTGAGAAGACAGAAGGTCGCCTTCAAACACAGACTCCGCAGTTCTCACAGTGTGTCTGTATTTCTCCAACGTGAACTTCTTTCTTGGCTTCCACTCAAACATGTTTCATTATAATTGACCGAGCTGCTGTTTCTATACTTTCATTGTGGACCAAATAATGTTAGGATAGTGTCTGTCAGTGTGGGTTCTGAACCGTAACTCAACTTGTACCAACATTTAGGATAACACTTGTTATATTGCACTTAAGACAGGAAGTTCCTTATTACTTTTGGGAGCAATAAGTTAAAGGTGAAAGCTATTATTGCTATAAATAGAAATTTGCTTTCAGAATTGTACCACATCTGTGAAGTTAGTTACTTATTTCTGGTTCGATATTCGAACCTACTTTCACAGTACCCACCGTTCCCCATGATTCCAGGCACTGGCGAATGTGATATTGTGTTGGTACGTACACCTTGCCTCTCGGGAGATGAAGATACTTATGGATTGTGGGGTCACTGGGTCACAGGTCAAGGTCATTGTTATTGATAATATAATTTTAGTTCAGAGTTTTATCCTGATTCTTCATGCTTAGGTAAGCATGGTATTGCATAGTTTGTTGATTTTGAAATCTTCTGTCAAGTCATCCGCAGATTTCACAGCTCTTTTCTATCTTATGATTTGTACACCTGAAATTTTTTACCACTCGGCAAGTTTTGGCTGGGAGGGTATTAGTGCTTGACTGTGTCTGTTAACATTTAGTTTCCAAATAATTTTATACGTTGTATCTTCTCCAAAGTTTACTAAGAATTGTGATCGGTGAAGAAGGCAACGATTTACTTTAAAAATTTTAACCGATCTTTAATGCCAACACTGAACTATTTGCTTAATGTGACAAATAAACAAAATATGTTTACCTTAAGATAAATTTAAATCTCCTTCAAAACATCGCTAACATTAGCTCCCAATCTTCTTCAAATAGGCAAACTTAAGACGAGTAGTTTGTGTAATAAATTAAGATAAATAACAATTGATTATAAATGTTGAATAGAGGAGCAATAAGTCTACTTTATGATGAAAACACTAAGATGAAGAAATTTTACATGTTACCCCTAAAAGTTTTGTAGTTTTCTTTAATTTGTAATTTATCCGTTTTCTTATATATATATAAAATTTGTTGAACTCTGAGGATGACTATTATAAAGTTACATATATTGAGTGCATATAATTTTTTAAATACAAGTTCATTTGCATTGTATGTCAGCTCTTGTAAATGTAGTTTAAGCGGATTACAGATACCTTTCCATAAAGTGTATAATATGTATGTGCTTACAATCACATGCCTTATTAATTTAATGAATTTTAATTCATCATTTCTGTCTCTGAATAATAAACAAGTTAAAAGCGAATCACCGACTAAAATGTTATTTGTCACTGTAGGTACCCGTTTTTTTTTTTATAACAACGGGTGTGAGATAAATAAGAACGGGATAAAACAGTTTATTACCCTTATTTACATTTTTTTGAGCAAATCGCGGTAAATTAATACTTACATATGAATATGACCTTTTTTAACCAACATAGCTTCATGTTTTCTATTTATGATTAAGATATAATTAATATAGTATGAAATCAAGAGTATTTTCATTTTAAACATCAATGAAAAAGAAAATCTTCATATTTTACATCGACTACTTACCGCGTGGCAGCACATGGTCTGTGTGTCTGTCTTCCCCGCGTCTCTGTATGTGTTGATGGCTGTAGCTACTAGCCAAAATGTTGGTGTTATTTGAGACAGCTGCGGGTTTCGCCATATTTAAGGTAATTAGTATTTAGTTGAGGTGGAAGTTAATATCTGTGTTGTGGGCCAAACTTTGTGTATAAGAAAGATGTGAACCTTTAACAAGTGATGGCTGGCTGTTTGGAATTTTGGTTAATATTCCCAAGTGGCTGATATTTGTTGGTGTTATTGGAGACGGCTGCTGGTTTTGCCGCATATAAGGTAATTTGTATAACATTAACATGGGTGGTAATATCTGTTGTGAATGAAACGTTGGCGTGTAAGAATGATTTGGACTAATAAACGGTGACTTTATTGGAGTTTTGATTTGTACTTTTAGCTCGTTTGTTTTTGTTGATGAGATATAGTTAGATTGATGCATATTGTAGTATCTGGTAGTTTCAGCCCTTGGCAATTTCAGACCAGTAAGCTCGGCGTACAGTAGGTTGGTCCAAACTTAATAATAATTTTAAATTTTCAGGCTAGAATAGCTTTGGTTATGCCATAACAAGAAATTTATTACCTAAGTAAGTTTTTCTTACGTATTTTTTTTTAATGAAAATTACCTTTATATCTGTGGAAAATGTATATTTATTGAAATAGTGAAACTACTTTAATACTAGCAATGACAATAAGAACATAAGAAAATAAGGAGTCTGCAATTGGCCGGGTGGCCTGTGCATGGCAGCTCCTGTCGAGAGTTACCACCACTCTCTATCATCCATGAATGTATCTAGCCTCCTTTTGAAACTTTCCAGAGTTCCCGCACTTACTACAAAGTTGCTAAGCTTGTTCCACTCGTCCACCACCCTATTTGTGAACCAGTTTCTTCCTATCTCCCTCCTAAACCTAAACTTATCCAACTTGAATCCGTTGCTCCGAGACCTATCCTGCTCGGATATTATAAGAACTTTATCTATATCCCCTTTATTTATTCCTTTCACCCACTTAAATACTTCTATCATATCTCCCCGCACTCTTCGTCTTTCTAGGGAATGCAAGTTAAGTTTCTTTAACTTATCCTGATATGGAAGGTTTCTAAGTCCCGGAATCATTTTCGTCATTCTTCGCTGCACCGACTCTAGTGAATTGATATCCATTCTATAATAAGGGCACCAGAACTGAACCGCATAATCGAGGTGCGGCCTGACTAGCGCAAGATATAGTTGCAATAAGACCTCTGCACTCTTATTACTTTCACTTCTAGATATAAAACCCAATACTCTGTTTGCCCTATTTCGAACATTAACGCACTGTTTTCTAGGCCGTAGGTCCGGGCTTACAAGTACCCCTAGGTCTCTTTCACAAGTCGACTTCTCTAGGTTGATGTTGTTAAGGCTGTATACATTGTCAGTATTTGTTCTTCCAATATTAAGTATGCTGCACTTGCTGGTGTTGAATTTCATTTGCCATTTTTCAGACCATGTCAGTATTTGTTCTTCCAATATTAAGTATGCTGCACTTGCTGGTGTTGAATTTCATTTGCCATTTTTCAGACCACCCCTGCAGTTCATTTAGATCCTCCTGTAATGCATTTGCATCCTGCCCTGAATTAATCTGCCGCCCTATTTTGGTGTCATCCGCAAACTTGCAGGGCTTTTAAGATGAGGGAAAATGAAGGCTTAAAATGCAAAAAATAACAAACAAACCTTTGAAAACCCAGTTAAGTTCTAGTTTCGGTCATCTGGGGAATCTTAGGAATTTAACTATTGCAAACAGTAGTTTAGACAATTCTAAGACACTTTTCTTTGAGGTTTCCCTCGCAAATGACCTGACTTAACCTCTTAACTGGGAGGTACCCTCCTGGCATATGGAAGTCGTTTGCGAGGGAAACTTCATAGAAGAAAAGTGTCTTAGAATTGTCTAAACTACTGATTCCAATAGTTAAATTCCTAAGATTCCCCAGATGACCGAAACTAAGTTAATGTAATACCGAAAACCCTACCTCACCATAAAAACTTCAAAGCCCTGCCCACTTTAAACAACCAATATTGTAGGTAATTCGGGAGGTCTTATCATTTAAAATACAGTAGTACTACCGGTACTCAAAAAAATATAAATTTGCTCTGTAAATTCCATTGACGAAATCGATTCCTAAGTAAAAAAATAACTGAAAAAACACATTGCCGAAATAAAAATCTGTGCCAGGTGTGTTGTCCAAATTTACCAATTTAACTATCCAACGAGCTTTCTAAAGTGAAGTAGAAACGTAAAAGTACTGTACAGTAATCCGAAAAATATAAATTTGCATCAGAAACGCTGTTAAGTTGTTATATATTCTCTATCTCCCTAGTATATATACAGCAACATAAGAGTTCTGTGGTTGGTTTCTATACTGAATCTTAATATGGGTTGATTTTATAAATAATTGTAACAGTTTATTTATAAATGTAATTACTGTACAGTACAGTCTGGAGTAATAAGCCATATCCTGTGAGCTTAATCATATGAGGGAATTAAGCAGCGAGGAGGACAACAATTTTCTTGGATGATTATGGTAGCTAAAATACTGAAATGGAATCCCAAGAGGTATGTTGTATAGAAATAGGGATTGCAGTGGCCATCTTCTTAACTCCAACAGGTCGATTTAAGGAGAGGACCTGATTTTGCTACTTTGTTAAAATTAAAGTGTGCAGTATAGAGGCCCCACTAGCTTATTAGAGAAGTTACATCTTATTTGTGAAAAATGCAGTTGTTAATTTTTTGGGTTCAGGGTAACAAAGTATTGTGTTATCGAAGTTTTTAAATTTGTAATAAAATTTGGTTTATTTTTACGAGGCTAGAATCCATTATTTTTCTGAAAAATTTATTAGGCTAATCTACAGTATGCTGTATCTTCGAAAAAAGTGTGTTCATAAAACAGTGCAAATGACCGATATATTTTTTCTTATTGCAGTTGCTGGATGAAAAGAAATTGCAGAAGGTAGAAAATCTTTTTGAAGACTTTGAGACCACAGAAAAGGCCAATAAAGTGTGAGTATTTTAATTTACTACTCCATTGAAGATTATGACATTTATGTTCAATATAATTCATGTTGTCCAATTTCCATTTATTCAATTAGTCCAGCTATCTCCCTCCTTTATACTGTACATGTACTGCATATAAATCATTTAGAACGAAAAAGCCAAACTCACCAAAATCAAGTTTTGATAAAATAAGGTTCAAGTTTTTGAACCTTCAAACCCTCATACAGTAATCAAATATTCATTAATTTTGGTGTTTTAAAGGTTACTAATTCATCGTAGATTATGGTATTACAGTACTTGTACTGTATAAAGGAAAAAAGTGTTAATGGCCATAAATGCCCGCTAAAAATATACAAACAAATTATGATAAACAAAAAGTAAATACTGTACTGTTATTTGGCCCAAGTTATTTCATACCTGCTTTCTTTAGTATTAATGTAATTTAAAATATAACATTATCATCTCAAACATTACAAGACTGTAAAACCTTTCATTTTTAAAATTTGTCCTACTCTGCTTGGACTAAAATCTTGGCAATAGACCGTTGTTTGTCTGTGAAGTACTTTTCCCGTGGGCTTTGAACTAACAGGTCAGGTAGCTACCTAAGGACCCAATATGACAACAAGTACAAGGGACTGCCTGAAGGAGAGCGGTGTTATCTTGTGATATTGTCCTATAGTTTTTAATTTTATTGTAAGCGATGGCAGTATGTCAAATTTATAGTTTTATATTTTTTATCTAATGATTGTATTTTTACAGTGTGCAGCTTCATAATTTCAAAAAGTTTGCTGATTATACCGACGCTTTACAAGCAGGAGTAGCACTGAATGAAGGTAAACTATGTAAACCATTGAAGAAACTCTTGAAGAAGGTATTTGCAGAGGAGGCGCATGAACAGCTGATGGTATGGGATGCAAAACTTGGAAATTCAATAAAGGTACAGTATTTCCTGCTGTTGATCTTCCTTTACGAAGGTATCATGAAATTCTTTTAAAACAGAATCAAGAAGTAAAAGGATTAAACCCAAAATCTCAGATCAAGACTGAGCCCATAACTATTTGACATACATATTACCCCACCAATTATACCCTCTACATTATCAGCTAAGACTAATTAATTGCTGCAACCTAAGGCTTTAAAAGGGGTTATGAGATGCAACAACCAATAATTATGCTTGGAGGCAAATGAATCTCTTGGAGGTGGATGTTAGTTCATAATGCCGTTTAAAACTACTGCAGTACCCTGTGTTTAGTATCAGAAGTAATAATGTTCTTTATTATTTTGCAGGAAAAAATTGGTATCCAATGTGTGAGCAACGCCAGTGTGAATGAGTTGATGAGATGTATCAAGTCCCAAGTTGAAGGTCTCATCCCTGGTTTACAAGAGAAGGAGCTGGCTGCCATGTCACTTGGCCTTGGACACAAGTATGATAGCACATATTTGCAGTTTATTACCTGGAGTGTCATATTCTTCATCATAATTTTAATTTATTTTATTTCATTCAAATTGTTCTTCAAGTTGAGAATTGATTTACACATTCAAAATGTTATTTAATTACTGTAATTAGATAATGTAAATCACAAAATTGACAACAAACTGTATAAAATTTTATTGCTTATGTATTTATTTATTTTTTCTCTCAGGCTTGTAATAATCCCTTGATCATATTCTGCAACCTTGTAAATCTTATATAATTGTACTAACAAATAGTGTATTATGTGTATACTTAAGTTGATTTATGGTTATCTGAAGTTAACAGTCTTCTAGGTTTCTTTTTGGAGGTAATGTATAATTTTGTCTCCTGCAGTCTGGCTCGGTACAAGCTGAAATTTTCTCCGGATAAAGTTGATACCATGATTGTGCAAGCCATCTCTCTGCTAGATGACATCGATAAAGAGTTGAACAATTACATCATGAGAACAAGGGAATGGTATGGCTGGCATTTCCCAGAGCTAAGCAAGATTATAAGTGACCATCAAGCCTATATCCGCACTGTCATGGCCATGGGTAAGAGTTCATGTTTTTTCATATTGTGCTGTGATAGGAAGAAGTATGGAGTTAATTAGCAAAAAAAAAAAAAGATGTGGTAAAGTAAATGTATTTTTAACCAGCAGAGTAATTTATAAGTGGCAGTCTGATTAAAGGAAATTCCAATTATACTTTATACTGTACTTGAATATGTTCCCTGTAATCAGGAATTCCTTACCTAAACCATTTATTTTCTGGTTACTTGTGCATTTTCTTGTGAAAATATAAATCCAAAATAAGGGAAACTTAAAATAAAGGAAAAATAAGAAATATATTACAGTAAACCCTTTGTTCAGTAATTACTTCCTTCCTTCCTTCTTGTCACACCTGTTGCCATTACCCTTAATAGGAAGATTACTAAGGTGACCAGTTGTGACATTCAGGCCACCTTGCATCTGTTAGGGCCTTCACTTTCCTGGATTTCAAACACAAGCTTCAAGTATAAGTAGTGTAGGAAAATGTGACTAGTTTGCTTGCAGGTATTGCATCTTTGTTATACCTGTAGTTTGCTGGTTTGTATAAAGACTGTAGATTAAGTTATGCTACACTTCACCCACAGTCTGGCACCTGCCTTACTGGTTTATGCTGTGGGTTGCAAATTGACTTTCACATGGACATGTAAGATAGACCCTCACAAGGGTTGCCAGATATATGGTAAGTTTCATGCAAGTACAGTATGTAAATACAGTACTGTAACCTTTTAAATTCGGTTACTAGTATCTTTTGCAGCACATTTGTTTAAACAAAATTATTAATGTTGTGTATGAATTTTGTTTGATTGCATTTCTATATCAATTTTTGTCATTGCAGGTACTAGAGACAAAGCTGTAAACACAGACTTTTCTGAAATCTTGCCCGAAGAAATTGAGGAAAAAGTGAAAGAAGCAGCAGAAGTCTCCATGGGGACTGAAGTTACTGAAGATGATATCATAAATATCCACAGCCTATGTGAACAGGTAGGGTGCCTAATGTGTTTGAAAAATATGACTGACTACTGCTCTCCAATTTTATTTACTTGTACAGTACTACTTTAATTGCATTGATTTACTTTTGTATGTATATGTGTGTGTGGTATTAATTGTTAAATTGTCTTGCACAGGTGCTGGAGCTGACAGAGTACCGTTCCCAGCTGTTTGAGTACCTTAAAAACAGAATGGTGGCCATTGCACCTAATTTGACCATCTTGGTGGGTGAGTTGGTGGGTGCTCGTCTGATTTCTCATGCTGGTTCTCTCATCAATTTGGCCAAGCACCCAGCCTCCACCATCCAGATTCTTGGTGCAGAGAAAGCTCTCTTCAGGGCCCTCAAGACTAAACATGCCACTCCAAAATATGGTCTCCTGTACCATGCACAACTGGTTACACAAAGTAGTACCAAACATAAAGTAAGTTTATACAATACCGAATATTTGCTTAGGTGGCCTTTATCATCATCACTATTTTTAGACATACTGTAGTAGTTATCATCTTCAAGTTTACACCTTGTTATGGGTTACTCACCTTGAAATGAGAAAATTTGATAATTGTACTTACGTATTTATGTGTAGAAATAGTTCTCAGTAAATATCATTTAGTGTTAGTAGGTTTATGATTCTATTGTTTAATATTATCCATTTATTTCATGGTTTAGAAAAGTGGGATTAAGATATGGACCATAATAATTATGTAAGTCTCTCCATCCTAAAAGGCATATGACTTCTGATGTAAGTGATGCAAATAATAACACATAACAAATACATGTATGGCTAAGTGAGGTGTGAGCATCTGAGTAGTAAGCAAGTGTTTTCAAAAGGAAATAAGAATCTTTTTTGGGGTAAGATAACCAACTTAAGGTGTTTGGACTGAAATTTGCTGGTTTCAAAACATTGCAAGATTGGTGATGTAGCTGATTATGTTAAGTTACAAGTTTTACATTTATAATTCTCTCCATGTTGATGGTAGATGTAAGAATTTTTCATATTTTTAGAGTATAAGATGATTAAAAATATGGCTGAGATTAATCGTAACGACGAGTCCCATCCCGTTGTCTCTTGTGATGGCCGAGAATTTAATGATTCATGAGAAACCTAACTTAACCTTGAGTGAGAAACTTTGCACAAAAAATTTCTCGACCATCACAAGAAGACATCATGAGAAAATTTGTCTACTGTTATTTCTGCTGTTTAGAGTATTCCTGTTTTATTTGAGGGTCATAAATAACCTTATTTTGGTACTGTAATTTAATGTTTTTATTTTCTCCAATAGGGTAAGATGTCTCGTATGTTGGCAGCCAAGGCTGCACTTGCATGTCGTTATGATGCTCTTGGAGAAGAAACTACAACAGACATGGGTATTGAGAATAGAGCAAAACTTGCATTAAAACTTGCCAATGCTGAGAGAGGGGGCACTCACAGAATTTCAGGAACTGGAAAGACTCAAGCAAGACATGCCAAGTACGAAGGAGAAAGGTCAGTTGAAACTATTTTATTGCATGTTATACTGTATGAATTAATATCCCCCCCCCCCACACACATTTTATTGTATGTTACATTATGCAATAAGGAATAAACTTTGTTTAATGTATATATATATCTTTAATGATAGATGTTGTATTTAATAATACTGTATACTGTATACATGTAGGAATACAGTAAAAATGAGTTTAATATCAATTTTCATTCATTGACTTCATAATGAGGTATAATACTGAATTATGAGAACAGTGTACAGTCCTGTATTGTATTTGTTTTTTAAGTAAACCATATTAATTTTGATTTACGGGTACTTGTGTATAATAAAATGGGTCCTAAGGAAAGTCGTGGCTAAAGAAGCTTGAGAAGTTCAGTTTTTGATCAAGTCTTATGATTTATTCCTGGACACTTTATTTGATCTTTGAATGTAAAAAGTGTCAATTTTTGTTCTACTGATCTTAAAAATTTCATACAGTTTTGGAATATCCTGTACTGTACTTTTTTACTTTTTAGATTTATTCTTAGTACTGGTATGTATTTAGGTAGAGTTTCTCTTTATATTGTAAGTTTAACATAAAGTAGTGAATAGGCTACGTGAATGTGTATCCTAATGCAGTGTTGGTTGGCAACCCGGTACTGTACAACCTCTCAGTTTACAGGGTTTTAGCAATGATCACAGTTGAATTAGCACCTTTAATGCAAATAGAACAAAGGACGTAATAAATAGTATTAATTATTTAAAAAATTCATGGTTGGTAGACTAAATATAGGTTACACACGTCCACGTCAAAAGTTATGTTCCTGGAAAAGACGGGTACAGTTTAAACAAAGACTGGTGTCCATAGGAAAGGGGATTTCAGCAACAGCCAAATTCCCCCTATTGGCAATGATTCTGTGTTGTATTAAGTTTCGTTGCCTATTCTAATAGCAATTTAATAACAATATGATGTGAATAATAGTGGTCTTTTATTGGAAATACAAGTAATATGCACGATACATAAATGGAGAGAGTCATTAACAAAACAGAATTTTTAGTAACAATGACTCTAAAGACAAAAAATTATGAAAGTCACTGGGGTAAAAAGGGAGCAGGAAAAATTAGGAGCATGTATACATGCATACATTAACTATATACATGTACTGTGAAGTAGTAACAGATTACTGTACAGTACATTACATGTACTGTATATGAATAGTGAGATTTCTGTTATGTGTATTTAGCTATGTTTTCATATTCGTTACTTCTGTTTTTGTGAAGTTAATATCAACATCTTTCCTTTTACTAGTGAGGTGAATCAGTATCATGCTGCTGCTGATTCAACATTAGAGAGCTCAAGTAAGCGCAAATTTGGAGAATCATCCGAAGAACAGACGCCAAAGAAATTGAAAGTAGAAATGGAATCAGAGCCAGGTGAGTGTATTTGCTAGTTTTGATATTTAAGTAAATAGGCTTATTTGCATAATTAGGTTTAATAATTTAGTGGGAGACCGTGTTAATATAAATTGCCAATGCTTGCCAAAGAGGGTTACTTAATTCTGTACTGTACACCTTTATGCTGTGCTTGTACTGAACATGTTTATTTTGTGCTTTATTTCCAGAGTAAATTGCTTAGGATAAATTATTGCCAAAGAGGTACAAATCAGAAGCTGTACTGAACATAAAACTTAAAATACATATACTGTACAGTATATTTTTTGCCAGAAATTTTAATTAATATCAGATTTAACCAGCACAGGGTGATGTATCAGCATACGTGAAATTAATTATAAATATATACTCTGGGCAAGTATGATACCAGTTCTTCATGTTAAGGAGCCATCATTAGGTATATGCCACTGTTAAAATGATGAATCCAATTTTGGTTTCACCTTTAAATTCAAGAAAATTTTTATTTGCAATATTTCCGATACCAACTCTGTTTACTGCTTTACCATTTGAGTAAAAATCCTTTGGTAATTATGTTTTAGGAAAGCATTTTTGAGGGGCCTGTTATAGAAGGAAGGTGGTAGTTACTCTATTTCAGTCCTCTTTCCTTAATTTCATTTATGTTCGGTGGTGGTATGTTGTTCCCTTGAATTGGTTCTCTTTCATAGACTAAATAGGAACCTTTGCTTAGGAAGTTTTAGTGCATGCTTGCTAGGAGCAATGTTTCATTGATCTTTGGTTGAATGTTAGAGCTTGGTCAATCTCTAATCATGCCTTATGTTTCACTAATAATTTAGTTTCATGGTTTTAGGCCGGATAAGGTTCTTTACAGGCTTGGATTCTAATTAAGGATCTTGCATTCATTTACCCAGTATAGCTATCATAGATACATTCAGTTGGCTGACTGGTTTAATTGACAGTCTTATTGTGGAGTCAATAGGGCTTATTGCTAGTGATATGATGAAAGTCACTAAAGTAAGCTTGGTTGCATCCTTCAGATCCAAGATTTTAAGAGGCTGTACATATTTGTACAGTACAGTATATCTGAACAGTTCTATTGCACACTCAGACTGTGTGTCACTCGGGAGCTGGTGTTACTCTGTACCCTAATAAAGGGTTCTTGGGTTTCATGCCTCCGTTCTACCTTCTGTACTAAGTAGTTTGAACGTACTTGGTCCACTGTGTTAGTTATAAATGAGGGATTGTACTTAAAATATAATTTTTTCATAATTTACAGCCATTTTCCATTTTGCTTGTGTTTGCCACGATTAATTGATGGCAGCATTCCATGCTGTGTGGTGTGGTCTTTTCAGCCCCTGGCTCCTCACCCCATTTAGACTCCAACATATTTTAACTCAATCGGTTTCATCCATTTGCTGCACATGCCCAAACCATCTAAACCTACCTCTACACAATGCTCTCCAGCTGCCCTCATAGCTCTGAACTGGGTTTCTGTCTTTCAGTGTCACATTGCTTATCTACCTCACCATTCTCATTTCAGCTCACACAAGCCTGTGAAAGCCATCCTCTTTATCTTCCAATGTTTCACTGTCATACAACATCATACTTCTCATGCCAGTTGGATAGTGTACATCTTTCCTTTCATGTGGAGGGAAGGTCCACTTCCTATCAGTAAAGGCAACAATTTCCTAAACTTCCTCCAGTCACTTCTGACACTTGCAACTGGGTTAACTTCAGCACTCCCTCTATTACTGATCATGTCATCCAGGAAACAGAACTCATTGATCAGTCCAGGGATATACTGTATACCAAACATTGCATTTCTTCAGCCTTGCTCTAAAGCCACATGGTTACCTGCACATACAGGCTTTTGAGTGTTAGCAACATCCTGCAGACTGCTCTTTATCTACTGCACTGCACCTACATTCCACACTCACTGCACATAACTGTATTGAGTTGCTGTCAATACTTTTCTTACAGATAACACATGACCATTTTCCAACGTAGGTCTTTTAACCATGTCATCAGGCCCTTTTACTATTCCCTCTTTCAATGTCTTATTTTTCTCCACTGCCTCTTCGGTACCCTCTGCGATTTGCACAAAGTCATCAGTATGCAACAATTCCCAGAGTGAATGTGCTTCAATTTATGAAAAATTACCTAAAAACAGCTTTCCAGAAGTGAAATCATTGTGAATTGGGGAACACCTTTATTTCTCACTACAATATAGTAAAAAACCCAACCAAGGTTTTTTGTTTGTGCAATATTCTAAAAAGGCAACAAAGAGTACAGTATTTTGTTGAATCTTTCAGACATGATATCAGTATATTCATATTTACAATTTTATTACATAGTGATGTACTGTTTTTCAAGACATTTGATTGATTCAGAATCTTTTTAACTCCAACTTAATCAATATTTTATACTGATGAGGGCATGTGGTGTAATATCTCATTTATTTTACTACAGAAGCTACCCCACAAGTTAGTGGTGAAAAGAAAAAGAAGAAAAAGAAGCAACAGGTGGAAGTAAAAGACGAGGTAAAAGAGGAGGTCAAAGAGGAACCAGAAGTACAAGAAGAGGCTATGGAAGTAGAATCAGTTGAAAAGAAAAAGAAGAAGAAGAAAAAGAAGAAGGAAGCAGCAGTGGCTGTATAAGCAAATTTTTTTTTATCTTTTTTCATTCAAGCGTTATTTTAAACTGTTGAGAAAAGCATTATGATGAATTGAAGAGATGATTTGAACCTTTCCACGGTGATTTGCAATACAATACTGTAGAGTACATATGAAATTTATTAAGTCTCGTTACACCATCACTGTATGGTAAGTTTAGATATAATATGAATCAGTTTTACCATAAGAACTTATGTTGGTAGAAACACAATACAGTATGTAAATTTGATTTTTATTAACCCTTATTGTCTTGGCTGTCATTTCTATTACAAATATATAACTTGTGAATCCTTCACTCTATGCTTATCAAGCAATAAAGTTTAATACAGGTATCAGTATTATATGAAATAACAATGCAATAGTAAATATTTTTAAAGTAAAAGTAGAGGTAATTTTGAGAGGCATAAAACACCACCGATAAAGGTACTGTGGCCCATGTAACTTACCCTACACTGCCCAGAACCCGAGTTAAATTAATTCTGTAGTGTTATAATTCGTCAAACAATCCTTGTTTGTCATTGAATATTACTGCAGTATGAAACAGATCTCTCCAAGGGTGCGAAATTTTGCTGGGGAATGAGGAATTGTCCGTCGAGAAGTATTCTTAGGCAACAGTGGCTATACTGTATCACTGTTGCCACACTGTATATACAGTATGCATGCTTATAATGCTCATTAAGCAGTATACTGTACCATTCAAATAAGAATTTCTTCAATATTTCGATTACAAAAATAAATTGGAGCAGGAATTTACAAACACTTCAATAATTGCTTATCTGCTAATCTTGTGTGTAACAGTCAAGTTTTTTCCTAAAGTAGATTTTTTTTTTATCATTTTTCACTTATAAAGGTACTGTATTTGTTGAATAATGATATTCTTTGATGAATTAATACAGTACCATCATACAGGCATATAAAAATAATAAAAAGTTGATAATCAAGTACAAGAATCCTGTCTTAAAAAAGGTTTTGATGCGATAAGATTTTTTTTTACACTTTTCAACAATTGTGCTTCTCTTTCCTATTATTAATGTAAGTACAGTACATGTACTGGTATGGAAGTGGGATCATGTACACATTATAATATCCCACTAAAAACATCTGGGTGGCCTGGGGTTGCCTTGGGCAGGAACCAGTGACCCGAGTGACAAAAGGGGAGAGCTGTATCAACTTAGCTGCTACACACCCCCCTCCCCCCAACAACAACTATCTAGGCCATCAAAATATATTAGTACAGTATGCAGAAAATACTGTCTCTGTGCCAGCCTATTTTTGTCGTGACAAAAATATTACCCCCACCGAATCATCCCTATGTAAATATGAATTTAATCGTGGGTCAATTTCTTGGTTTACTCTGCCTGTTCTTAGAAAATTTTTATCAGAAACCTTCGGCTTTTGTCCACTTGACAATTATGTTTTGTTGAATGTATGTAATCTGAAGTTTAGTAAAATAAAAAATCAATTATTTTAATTGTAGTACTGTATGTAATTGATTATGAAAAACTTGTGCAGTTTTACCCCAATTTTTTTTAACTTATTTATTCTTAAATGCAAGGTGGTTTGTATGAGAGGAAATATCCCCCTCCCTCACTTAGTATGCGAGTTACATTCCAAAACAAGGTCATATACAGTGATTTGTGAAGAGTTTAAAATGAACTGTAAAAAGCTTGTCAAAGGATATGGATTTGAACCTTTGGTGGATGGGGATAAATAGAAGATTAACCAACTCCCTCTGTAGCAACTGTACTCCTGAGCACTGAGGAGAGGGTCTAAGAAGCATACTAGTCTTTGAAGCTAACCAGTTATGAAGCTAAAATGAATTTTGACATGTCTCAGATGGGCTGGCAGCACCAACTGTCACTCCAACCTCATCCTCAACCAGAGCAATACCTGCTTTTCAGTTTTAAAGAAGCTCAAAACCTAACGGGTGTGTAGTTCTCGGTGTCATACTGTACAGAATAAGGTAAGGAAGGGTTTTTACTCTTAGTTTTCATTTTGTAAGTGTTATGTGCTCTTAACAGCTAAATTAGTCGCAGTTAGAAACACATCATAGCCTTCTACGGTATTTTGTTATATGCTAACTACAGGTTTTGAGGATCCATTAGTGGCTTTTAAGAGAGATTATTGTGTGGTCTGGATTGGTTGTATAGAATGTGTCCTCCATAAAGTGTTACAAGGGCTTAACTTACCTACCATATGATCAAGAAGATTAAATGTTATGATTTTAAAATATTTTGGTAAACTTTTTATTTTAGTCAATGTAAAGTTTAGTTTAAAATACTGTTATGTGTTTCCTTTACTAGTAAATGTTGGCAGGGTGCTCCTTTGTACTAAAGCACATACTGTATTTTATACGGCAACTGACTTAACCTACATTTGCTTGTAGGGCAATTTCTAGTGTCTAATTAAATGTGTTATTTAATAACACTTCTTCACTTCTTAGGAGATAAAACTAGAGAAAATGTAATAATAAGCATTATACTGTACAGTATTTTCTTAGAACATGAATTTAGTCAGAAGATAGTACAGTACTGTATACTGCATTGTTAAGAATACTGTGTACACTCGTTACAGAAAGTATCTGTAATGTGGTGTCTGATGAATTTAAAAAATGAACATTGCAACTCCTGTTGCACTGGGAGGGTTGTCAAAATCCTTAGTCCATTGTGTCATTGTCTAGCAATTCTTTTTAAGGATACATAGCCTTTTGTAGTGAGTCTACAGTACTGTACTGTATATGTAAAAGCGTGGCTTAGGGACTATTGCCTTTTGGAACAATATTACACGTCATAGTGTAAATCTTTTGAAAGACCAATGGCAAAATTGTACAGTGCTAAACCATATTCCCAAGCAGCACATGACATTATTACATACGGTATACCCTGTATGAATACAGGGTATTACTGTTACAAATGTAGAGCTCATGGGGAAACATTCCTGTGAATATAATATTAAATCTAGTCATCTATCAAAGGCATATAATATAGACTGTAACAAGATATTCTGAAAATTTGCACATGTATTGCTGAAAATTTAAATCTAGGTTTTAAGATTGGTCAACTACAGTGGAAAAAGCTTGAAGATCAGTGAATATTATTACAATCTGGAACAATAGTAATATATTTATTCAGTGAAATTGTCATGTATATAAACTATGCAGGTACTGTACCGTATACAGTTTAGCATGAATATAGGACCCTTTGTTTAGGATAAAAAAAAATCAAGTGATACTTTACTGACTTAACCATTTTTTCTCACGAAACGACACAAAATTGCCAAAATAAAGGTAAAGTTAGGTTAGGTCAGGTTCCGTTAGGTTTGGTTAGAATCGTTTTTTGCGTGCTATTACCATTAAATTAAGTCACGTGAATATTATTAGTACAGTGTGTATACTCATATACTGTATTTATTTAATATAAAATTGAATGCATACGTACAGTACAGAACATTGCATTATTATGCACACATTTACAGGTGAGTATGGTATGAGCATTATACTGTATACTCTGGGTCGCCCTCAAATACTAAGGGTGATTAAGGTGATGTCTTATACTGTATCATTTCACCAGCTTTCCAAATGATCCATCAAACCATAACATTGTTCAAACTATCACACCCTATGTACTGTTTTATTCACATCAGATTCAGATTTGCCCCCGAGGGGGCTAGTTTATTGGGCACCCCCTTACGTCCTGTGCAAGGTGAAGCGCAGAAGCGTTTACAGCGCCCAACTGGGAAGTATGAAAAGTTCATACTTGCCTTTATGACTCGTACATTAAGGGCGTAAAAGCCTGAAGGGTCATAGGTTCTGTCAAGTTACATAAAGTGAGAGAATGATGAGTGTGTGGGGGGAAAGTTCCCGGTACATTTTATCTGTTTATGGCAAAGAGTGGCAGGTCCCTAATAATGTCAAATGCCAGGCCTGTGACTAGGAGGAGGGATATTTTTATTCACATCGTCTCTAAATCACAGCTGATTCCCAGTTCCGCCATATGGACCAAGTTCCGTTACTGGTAGTCACGGTGGTGGGTGTGTTACTACACGGTAAGGATCTGCTGGCTCTCAAGAAAGGTGAAGGGCTGGCTGTATCGTTCATTCTTGGAGACAGGAGATTAAATGCAGTTTTGAATACCTTTAACAGTTAACAATTTATTATGGTCTGTACCTAGGCTTGGCTATTTTATCTATAGCCTTTCTCAGGGAGTGATAATTTTAAAGGAAACATTCAAATAGAAACCAGTGTGTTTAATTGACAATGAAAGTCATTTTTTTTCAATTATGCCATCAACTGAATATTAGAGTAAACTTAATACTGCTTCATCTCCGAGGTGTTTAACCCCGGCGCCTCAGTGGTCACCTAGCGGCAACATGTTCCGGTTGAGGCTCACTCGCCGTCCCTCAGTTGGGACTGTGTCTTTGAATGGGCAGGTGTGTTTGAAACCTCTTCTATCAACCTATGGTAACCAGGCTAGCAGTGTGCGGATACCATTGATAGTGATATGTGTGTATTTCTTGTATTCAAGTTTGTTGAAAATGACATTTAGTAGAGTGGATAAATTTAATATACCGCCAATTCAAAAGACGACTAACGGTCATCAAGAAAATTGCGCGATTAATTTGTAATGATAATGAAGCATTCACGTGAATTTGGATCGTAGAATTAAGATTATACTATTATGAGTGTCGTTTCAAGAAGTGGGGCATAAAATCATAGAAAATTATGTGGTATGAACCGTGAAAAGGTGCATCTAGAGACGCATCGTGAAGGATTAGTCGCTATCTTACCACATCATCGTCTGGCGGACATTAAAGTCACAGGTGATTTCGACGGAGTAAAGCAGCAGTGTTGTCTCAGTGATGTCATTCAACTTGTCGCCATGGACATTGACTCTGTCTCTCTTACTGATGGCTTCCCTCATGGGGATGGTGACCGGTGGCCATGCCCTCCACGCCTCCTGGGCGCAGCTCGAGCAACTCTGGCAGGCAGAAGTCAAAGCTGTGGAACAAATACGGAAAGTTGTTCTAACACTGAGTGAACTAAATGGAGTCTTACATAGGTAAGTAAACTATTTCACCGTATGTTTTCCGCATTCCTTTGGTAAAAGACGATTCGTAACGGTAATACCACTTTCTTCTGTCTTGAACTATCTTAGCTAATTGATATTTTTTTAACGAAGGGTTTACTGATGATAAACCTAGATTACCTTGCGGCCACCACAAGTATAGTGTCAAAACTGATTAAAAAGCAGACCAGAAGAACCAACCGACTATAAACAACACTGCCGTCGGGTCATTGGGTTAGGTTAACTTGTGGTTTGCTTAACTTTAAAAATGGTTTTCCCTTGCTTCCACAGCTGATTTACATTATAAGCATTAAAAGTAACATATCCTTGGTAATCCCGTCAATAAAATGAAGTTACAACAAAAAAATTTTTGTAACTTGAAAGATTCGTTAACGTGGTTCAGTTTTATTTTGCTGGTTCTTATGCTGTTTACGGTTATTTTGCTACCCCGCAGGATCTGAAGGTATATGTAAAACAAATATGAGTAAGGATATCGTCAACAATTTAAATGAGCGACTGGGCTAAACAATATTTACCCCAACCTGATCAAACTTTTCTTTATTCGCGGTATCTCGTCTGGTTCCAACTGCTCGTAAACTATACTGTACTTGCTTTTGGTGCTTGGCTAGGTAGAAGTCCCGTTTTCGACGGTACTGCTCTTTATTATGTACTACGCACATGTCATTCATGATGTCTGCCGCTCGGTATGTTCATGTAAACAAAATGCAGTTGTGACGTTGTACCAGAGGGAGTTAAAGCTGCAAAACGATCCTCACTGGCGTCCTCTTAGTCGTGTGAACAATCCTCACCCTTGCAATCATAAATGAGAGGACGCCGATGCATATCGAATTTGAGGTGTTGAAATACGTGGATTTGATTTGCAAAAATATTTACGCTAGTGTGAATTATTCCTTGTAATTTCCTTATCACGAATACTTAGATGTCTAAGGGAAATTTCTGTCGTTTACAGAATCAAAACACTGGTTCAGTGGTAGACATACAACGGGCGTGAAACAAAACTCATTAATTATAAACTATTAACTGGTTGTGACAACTCAAAACACCACTGATTAATTGTGTGAGGAACAACGGGTTTAAACTAACTAGCTGATGACCAAACCTGTGGTGGTTGAAAGCATATACGGTAATTTATTTTTTTACCGCTGTTACACTTCAGGGTGTCTTAGCATCCAGTATACCTTATCCGAACTGGCCATCAGTCCTATGAGACCTATTTTCTATATGTTTTAGACTTTAAGGCCTATTGTGAGGGCAACGTTTGTTTGTCTTTCAGTTCCATGTGTAAACAGGGAGAATTACCTGTTTATGGCATGAATATATTAATTTAACTCCAATTTCCACACCACAGGTACGTGCAATCATGGGAGGCCATAGCTGACACTGAGCCACTAGGTGGTTCGGGTGATCCTGCGGCTGCCTACTCACTCATCCGTCATGTTGCGGGCGGTTGGCCGCAGGTGGACGAGGCAATTAATGCAGGCCAAGCTGTCTTCAGCGATATTAGTGAGTATCAAACCGTTATTCTTCACATAAGCACCAAGTGAAAGAAAAAATATAATAAAATATTTACATCTCCCCAGTTGATTTATAAAACTTATTAAGTACTCGGGAACGTGCAAAAATAAATTTATTCTGCTGTCATAAAGTGCACTTCTCATTGGTTGTCTACAGAGCTGCTATTCGGTGCCTCGTTGCTATTAGGTCAGCCTGTTTCCTGTAAGGAAACTATGGTTAAGTCTACTACTGTATATACGGTTACCTGATTTTAAGCAGTGATGAATCGAGTGGAGGTGCACGTCCTTCAAACTTTTTTGTCGAAAAGTGATGACACTTGCAGTGGAATGACACTCCTGTGGTCACTACAAAGGGATTGATTACAATCGAAAGGACCAACGCAAGTAAGGTACACAAAACAAAGGACTTTGAGTAACTTGGTCGCCTTCATTCCCTCAGAGGAGCTGGCGTCGCGGGCAGACAGGGAGCTGCTGCCCAACGCGGACGATGTCGCGGCTGCGTCGGAGGCCGTGGCCAGGCTGGCCCACATGTACCACCTCAACTTAACTGCTCTGACACACGGCGGCCACCTCCTCCAGGCCCAGTTGATGGGGGACAACACCTTAAACACAGCATCACTCCACCATCATTCTTTGTCAGGTACTTTAGTTCATTTTGTTCCATGGTTAATTGACGAAGATTCCTTCCATGTGTTGGTCTGCCTTGTTCATCATTCTGTTAACACAAATATTAAGTGTTTAAACACAGTATTCGCTAAGCATTAACCTGGAAATTGTCTAAAGTAGTTTGTGAAATTTAACTGGAAAATAATGAGTCAAATATACTCACAGTCAGTGACTTGGCGTCCATCGGGCTGGTGGCGGTGAACAAAGGTTACTTTAGTGTGGGCGTGGAGTTCCTACGGGCAGCCAGGTCGCGGGCAGCCACCCCTGCCCACAAGAACCATGAGCCTTGGCTCAGGGAGGACTTCTCAGCTCAGAGACTGGACAGCTTGCTCAGTACTGCTGTCAAAGTGGTGAGTGATGGTTTCTGTCAGGGTCAAGTGCGTAGTGTTTAAAATAAGGTGAGAATTTATATATGGTATATCAGTAACACTAAAAAGTTTGAATAACTAGTAAAGCTGTTTGTCTGACCAATTTAAGACGGTGTAGTCTTATATTGTAGTCATTTTGTATGTAAACTAAAGCTTCGATTTATTTTTATGAATATCAGTCTTTGTAGTTACTTTATTCTCGAGATTTAATTAACCAGATTTGTTACCTAGAAGAAACACTACCCTCTGTTTACTTGTGTCAGCTTAACCCTCTTCTTAGTTATACTTGTCCAAACTGATTCATATATTTTTCTTTCTACCAGCAACCGTCCATAACTACTCACTTTTAACCAGCAACCGTCCATAACTACTCACTTTTAACCACCAACTCTATACCCATTAATTACCACCACCACCACCACTCTCAATAACACCTCTATATGACCACTCGCCAACAACTACCTTCTTCCATAATTCATCCACCACTACAGGTACTACCACCATCCGTCTGTCATTATCTCCCACAGCATGACCACGTCCTGGAGATAAGAGGCCGCCGTTCTCTCACTCATGCCACAGCCCCTACACCGTACAGAGATGAGCGGGGAAGGGTTGGCCACTTGGATGAGGACGATGACGTGGTTGTGGGTGTGCAGTACCTAAAGCTGCATGGGAACAAGACATGGATGTTGCAGGAGCGGCCACTGGTGGAGCAACGGCAGGTGGAGAGACTGTGTCGAGGGGAAGACCTCAGGGTGAGGCACGAGACTTTAATAGTATTTGTTACATTTGTATGTTTTGGACTGCATCTTGTGTTCTGATAAACATAAACAACCTGTTTTCACGTTTGCAGTTTTCACATTTAACGAATGGGTTTTCCTCTCATGAAATATAGAACTAAAGAAAATAGTTGCTTCTGAGCTATATATCAGCTTAGTCCCACTTGAATTATATAACCACAATATTAAACGTGTGGGTATTTTATTGTTTGTATTGAACTAGAAATGAGTATGTTATTTAAAGTTATTTTCTTTAACATATACTGTAAGTTTAATAGAACAGTTTTTATCCAAGTAAAGTTAGCCTCTGTACAGGTACCTGGGAAAAAAAAGTGGAAAAACTGTGGGGTTCGGCCCCTGATGCAGGGTCAAACCAATCTAAACATTCGTGAACATTCTCGGGGCTGTTCACATGAACATTTCAGATTTCAACATTCTTGTCTTAGAAACCGTAGCCGTGCATGGAAAAGAAACATGGAAATGCAGTAAATGTGTTTAATGAGGGGCTCCCACCTTTGGGGGTGGGGGCCGACCACTGGAACCAACCCTCCAAAATCATACTTTCGTGATACCTTTGGGGTGTGGGTGTAGGCGTACGTCCATGCCAAATTTCAGTTCTGTATATTCATAACTTATGCAATGCATGGCGAACATCCACACAAATAGACTTTCGCTTTATAATTATACAGTACAGTATATAGATGGACTGAAATTCAGCATTTTCATATGTGGTGGTAGACCAGCTTGGAGAGGTCAGAGCTTCACTGTGGCTACGCCAGCGGTGGCAGCCCCTGGCTGCTCCTGGCGCCCTTCAAGGTAGAACAGATATCCCTTGATCCATACATCATCCTTATCCACGAGATCATCAGCCCACGGGAAAGAGCACATGTCAAGGAGAGGGCGAGTGGCCACCTTCATGCTCCACACAACGCCATGAGAGGCAACAATACTACCAGGAATGACTGGTCGCTCAAACAGTATGTATTGTTGCTATTGCCTATACTAAGTCCAAACTCTTCTTGCATAATTAATCATATACACCAAATTAAACTACTGTAATTGATTCTCAGACATTAATGATGGCGTCTGATATAACAATTGTTCTTGTTAACTAGGATTTTCCTTTGTCCATCAGAATTTTCTGTGGAAAAGGATATGTGCAAATGGGAAGAGGTTTTCATCTTATACAAAATGGCAGACAAGCCTGCTCCTGACAACGTATCACACACTATTATTAGTCAGGTGGCGGCTTTGTCATAAACCAGTAGTGGATGTGTATTATTGTACTAAACTTCAATGGCTTGTTTTCCACTGGTCGTTTTGATTAGGAATACACTATAATTTAAAGTGTTAATTTTTTTCGTTAATGATAATGGCAGTTTTTTGGGCAAATTGCTGATGTTTGTGTCCAGTACAGAGAATAAATACCAAACTGTATTATTGTTTGATGGATGTAGTATTTCAGTGAAGTTAACAATTTACAAGTAGAGGATTTGTCTTATCCAGGAATCCGATTGACATTTAGCACAGTAATTCAGTAAAGGTGAATATGTTTACCACTGTATATCCTTTATTTAGATTTTTTCCGTCTGAGTGTACAGTTTGTGTCCTTTGACAGCGTGTGGCTGGAGGAAGAGGCCGTGACCTCACTTCAAAGTTTGGGTCTTCGCCTCAGTCACCTGGCGCGAGTCACTGTTGGAGACCACCTCTCCGAACCCTACATGGTATGCTAAGTGGCTAGTACAGTACCACTAAATTTTCTCTGTACAGTATAGTCCTTTCTTCTCATTTGTTAATTTTGGTACCTGTTAGACAATGTGTTAGTTCTTTATGCAAAAGTTGCGTTTCAACTACTTCTTTGTGTTTAATAGTTTCTTGAGGACAACCTGGGTGCCATGCCTTCAACTAATAATGGCTTACCAACTCAAGAGTGGAAAATGGTTGTAAAACGGTGATGATAACGATTTTGATATCTCATTTTGTTAACCCCCAGGTGGCTAACTACGGTCTAGGTGGTAGCTATGATGCACACCGGGACACTCATGGCCCTGTCAGGAGTCCCCCCAACCTGGCCGTCGGGGAGAGGATGGCCACCATGCTCACCTACCTGCAGGTGCCCTCAGCAGGTTAGTAGGCTTTTTTTTATATTATTTTGTTTTTTTCGTAGTGCAGATTTAATAACATAAGTAATAGTTGGATTCATTGCAGCTATGGTCGGATTTACATGATGTAGAGGACTGGCTGAATGTACCATACTCGAGTTAGGGCCTCTGTTCACCCCAAGAATTTTGACAGGGCATACATGACCATCAGTAATGGTTTAGCTTTAAAACATAAACATGTTCTCCTATACAGATTAGTGATTGGGTTGTTAGGAACTCCATTGGGGAACAAAATTATGGGGTTGAATGTGTAAATAAAGTTAATTTTAAGTAAAAGTGACTCGTAGAAGAAATCATTGCGTCCCACTGCTGTTTCTAGGTAATACAGTTAATTAATCAGGCAACAGGTGTTGTACTCTACATTACTTGAGACTAATACCCATTTGATTATATTACTGTATCTCTGCATTGAATTAAAAACTTTTATTTATGTATCTTAAAATAAATTTCGGTATGAAGTTGAACAAAAATATTAAACGGGCGTGACTAAATGTTTTCACCTCCTAGGTGGCAGAACGGTGTTCCCGTGGGTGGGTGTGGGTGTGGACGCGGTAGAGGGAGCAGCAGTGTTGTGGTGGAATCTGCTGGCTTCCCACGAGCACGATTTCCTTACTCGCCATGCTGCCTGCCCCGTTCTTCGTGGTCACAAGTGGAGTGAGTACTGCTGTGTGACCTTGTAATGAGGGGAGTGATTACTGGACTACTGATAAATGTTTGAGTGTGAACGAGGAGAGTAACAAGTGGAGTGGTGGGATGGAGTGCGTGAGGGTGGATGCTGAAGTGAGAGGGAATGGAACATTTTGATCAGTGGAGTGGGTGTAGTACTTGTGGATACAGTACTAGGTTGAGAGAACGGAATAAAGTTAAGTGTAATAATACAGGAATGATCACATGCTGCCCACCCAAAGGACGGGACGGAAAGTGACAATGATATAAAAGGCTGTGTGGATTATTATGGGATAAAAAGTAATAGAAATTTACATAATGTATGCAGTTTTATGAACATTCTAGTTTTGAAGTGAACTGAAGAGCACTATAGTGAGTTCCTTGTTGCATGTTATATTATTGCTAGTTGTTATTTCAGGAAAAAGACGAAGTAATAAATGGAATGTAGTGAAAGATAATAAAATTTTGATGTGAAAATTGGAGTGAGTAAAAGCAATTAGTGTAGTGACATACATTACCTTAGTAACCAAAACTTTAACACCTGTAGTGGAGGTGGTAGTGGAGTCTGACGACCCAATATTTTACCTGCTCATCGTGTTTTTAATGTTAACTGGTATTCAGCAAATTATTATCAACCATACTCAGGTGCTTTATTTTGTGTGTCTGTGTGAGGAAATTTGTCAGTGATCTTTTAATCAACGACAGTCATGTTGTTTATCATTTAATGAAATAGAATAATTTAAACCCTCAGTGATAGTGCAGACAATCGTTAAGTTTCACAAATAATATTTCATAAAGATATGAACTTATATTTTTTATTCCTAAAACTCTTATGAAAAGTATTATTAACTTTTAATTCTAGACCTGATATTTTGTAAAGATGCAAACCAGTATTTTTAAGAACTGTACCGTGAAAAAAAAATGAAGTAAGTCTATTATGTACAGTACAGTATTCCCAACAATAATATTTCATCAACCTATTTATTGATAAACTTAATGAACCTGGAAATCCCTATTTAATCGTTCTTCCTGGCGTATTTCAGTCGTAAACAAGTGGGTGGGTTACGGTGCCCAGTGGCAGACTCAGCCCTGCGTCGCCGACCCCTCCAGGAAGGTTATGGTCCCTTGGTACTAACGGTCAACACGTTCTAAAGTCACCCTTTAATCCCTTATGGTCATGGTTCCTGGTAATAAAGGTAACATCGTGCTAAGGTCATCCCTCTATCCCACATTGGTCTTGATCCTTTATACCAATGTCACCTTTGAATTCCTTCGTGGTTATGGACCCGAGGTGCTGTATTGTACTAAGATTATGGTCACCCGGTATTGTGGTCATCTCATTTACCACGAGAAAGCACCTGGCACTCGTGTTAATGCCACCCTTTTATCCAGTGAGGCTGAAAGCTTTCCTTCTTTTCCTCCTAGGATTATTCCCTTTGAGATAAGGGCTAAACCCCAGGAACACGATGGTTATATTTTATAACTGATCTCGGTCTACGGCATCTTATATCGGTTTCTGACCTCCAATCTCGACCTTTACTTCTTATCCTACCTTCTGACTTCCGACCACGGTTTCTCACCTTTGACCTAGGCTGTAGGCCTCATCATTAACCTGACCTATAATAAAATAAATAGGTTCATTTTAATCTAAAGGGAATAATTCCTCTCATCATTCACACGTGATTTATATACTAATGTGTTTATTTAATAAAAATTTTGCAACAGTGTGTGTGTTGTAACCTTATATAAAATACCTGTACTCCAACGACCCAAAACATTTAACAGCAGTGGTGCGTTATTGCTACCTATGCAAAGTTATGAATGAAATGCATTCTTCAGCACCTGCACCAGTACATTACTACGTCGTATAAAAAGGGTTTTTCAGGTCCTTTATATACAGTGCGAGTATGTGATTTGACTTTAAACAAAATAAAACACTTTCTCGTGGGAGATACTTCAGGTAATCCGATATTCGCATTTGTTTCATCTGAATATAAATGCCCTGAATGGTCATTGGTAAACACCTTTGTTATATATATTTGGTGTGTAGAAATATAGTAAAGCTTTCACTACTACAGTATGTGTAGTATGGTTGATCTCTGTGTACAGGCAGATTATATTGTAAAATTCAGTAGCCCTCTTATATTTTCACGGTAGATATTCCAGTAAATCGAAAATCGCCTGCGAAAAGATATTAATTTTCATATCATTCAGTAGAGATTAGAAACAAAACTCTCTTCATCCATTTTCAGGTAAACTTTACTCGGGGCAAATAACAAAACACCAGTCTTGCTCACATATACTGTCTCAAGATTTGAGACTCAGAAATTAAGTACCGATCACAAATGGTGCATGAACAACAATATGAACAGCATGTCTGAAGCTCCTCATTGCCTCTTCAATCATTGGTAGCTGTCAGGTGGTATGGAGTGCCAGTCGTCACGCGAACTTAAGGTGAGAGTAAACTTCGTTTTTGTAACTTGTGTTTCCAATAAAATTACTCCATGTAACTTACCCTCAAACATGATGTGTAATAGGTAACAATAGCCAGTTTTATGATTCAACTAGCTCATTGCATACAACAAGTAAGAATACTCTTTTATAAATGCTGTGATGTCTAGCGAGGTGCGAATGTGGCCATTAGTTCTTGTGAGGTGATGGTTTACCGTCTGGCTCAGGCAGTTTTATTTTCACTTGGTGTATATATTTCCCTTTCTCTATGTTCTTATACTTTCCTCGCATTCATTTTTCTCCGCCTCGTCTCCTTCCCATTTTCACTATCTCGTTTTTCCCCATCTGTTCATATTTTGCTTCCTCTTTACCCGGTATTCTCATGCTTAACAGAACGTTAACATGTCAGTAAAAGAATAGAAAACACATACTCTATTACTAATTTTGGTTTTGGATCATATCATCAAGAAGGCATGAGTCAACAGTCTCACCACAAACACCACCACCAGTAACTTTACTTCCTCCCTCATAGACACATCGCGGCTATAAAAAAGACGATAAACAAACCGCAAGCCGTCGTAAGGAGGGCCTTGGGGCTAGTGAACTTACGCTAGGTGGCGGGTATTAGCGGCGTCCCAGACTCACTGTAAACAAACCGCCAGAGACTTGGGTCAATGTTTTCTTTTTCTCCTCGAGCTTCCTTGAAGGTTCCATATCTAAACACCGTTCAGCTCTCACACCCACTTTACAAAGTGTTAGGTTAGGGGAGTTAACGAAATAACAAAAAAGTAGTAAGATAATTATACAGATTATAATTTATATATTTTATCATACATACATAGTTTTTTTTTGCTCATTTGTTTCAGCAGAAAAGGCTTTTCGAAGATTCTTGTATTGTAAGTGAAAAATTGGTCAACTACATCTGAAAGCCATCCTGTCAACTTTTTTCATGTTATACTCTACAGTATATGGGAAAAACTATGTTCATTTTACCTCAGAATACTCAAAGCAACACCTTGTAAAGTGCTGCTTGATTAAACCTAACTCTAGATGTTTAGTGAATTTAATTTTAACTTATCATCTCACCACTTAACAACCTACTAGACGTTCGGGAAGTTGGTTTGATTTTGTTACTTTGTTATGATTTTTTTTATTTTTTTAGTACAGAAGGAAACCGGAGTGCCCAGAGGAAACCTGGATAACACCCTTCCTTCGTCTGTCCCGAACCAGGACTTTAGTGGCGAGGGATACATTCGTTATCGTTATAGTATCAAAGATATGCTATCCTAAAACAGGAGAGCATTCAGGGGAAACATGAAAATAGTTTAAGAAGGAGGAAATATGGCGACACGTTACAGATTGTGCAAGTGAAATGTGTCGGTCGATTCCCGTAGAGTTATGGTGGCTACTGTAGTCTGGTGTTGTGTTTACTGTGTCGAGAAAGGTTCCATACCCGAGGGTGCGTATGTGTGCAGGCTGGAAGGAGAGGAGGGAGTAAAAGCAGGCCGAGTACACTTTATCTTTCTCCTTTTTTGTTTTATCTTCATTCTTACCATCCACTCATCCATTTCTGTCCCAGGTCGCTCCTTCTTATCTTTCTCAGCTCCAACTTGTTTTGCCAGTGACTTCTAAAACATCCACTATGACCAGAAAGTTTCCTATGTCGTAGACTTCTTTTCGGGAAATAGTAGTTGATGTTTGGAAGTAATGTTTGTTGGGATGTTTATGTTGGGAAGTAATTTATGCTGGGAAGTAATGTTTGTCGGGAAGTAGATTATATTAACATATACCATATACCAGTAAGTTATTTATGACACTAAGTAGTCTACAGCAAAAAGCAGTGTAAAGAATAAAATAGGTTTACTTCGGGAAGTAGTTTACGTCAGGAGGTTATTTACGTCGGGAGGCAGCGGGCGTCAGGAAGTACCTGTAGTCTAGGCTACGTTGGAAGGTAGTTTAGGAGTTGTGGAGGGCAGGGAGGAGGTGGCTGCCTTCCCAGGCACACAGCAGCTCCTGTAGATCAAGCGAGGTAAAACTAAAGAGAATATCGTCGGGGACCTGGGAAGGCCTTTGTCTTGCCCCGGCGGGAGTCACCCTTCTCCCCTTGTCTACCTGGCCTCCCTCAACTCCCTGACAGTAACACTCCCTTCGTCCCTCAGCCCTCCGCGGGCTGCCTCCCTCTGTCCCTTCTCACTCCCTAGACCTCCTCAGCCCTTCTGTGGACCCCCCCCCCTTCCTCCCACTCTTAGCTCTTTGCCTTCTCTTCCTCTCCTGTCCTTCCTCTCTCTCTCCTTCCCCGCCCGTCACCGAAGACCCGTGTAGGCCTACGGGGCGCCACTGTTCGCATCCGTGCATTCTGGTCTCGGATTCTCTAAGGTTCTAACGTTTAATTTTCATTTTATCTGAAAATGAAAGAACGCATTTAACTGGCTCGCTTCATCCTCAGTACAATGGTGATCTGCAAAGATAGATTCAACATTGCGCTGAGACTGTACTGAATTTTGAAGACGTTCGAATTTGTCAGAATTCGGACCTATCGTTGACAGCTGGTGTTCGCATTCCCTTATATTGATGTTGACAGTGCTCACATCACTATATTGTGGTGTTGAAAGTTGGTCTTCGCATCTGTGCAGTCGAAACCCGACAAACACTTAATATTATGGAAAGGGACGTGGATAGTTATGAAGTGCAAATGTACTGTACACGTCTACTGTTAGCGTGTGTATGAACAACTGACACCAGCATGCTGACGAATACCCAGGTCATCCGGTCATGTATGGCTGAGCTAACGGATGTTTGTATGTAGATGAGCATGTCTGGTGATAGTTGACACCTGCACCTGTGTTGGTAATGCTCGTGTGATTGTGGGTTGGACTATGGGATTGTAGAATAAAGAGAGAACAGTTTCGGTAAATCAGTAGAGTTTCGCTCGGGCATCACTTTCTAGCGCTGCAATATGGGTTATATTTATAAGCTTGGCGTTCACGTTATTGTTAGTTCTTTTAAGTTCTTCCCTTATGTTGCTGTTGATAGAATAGGAATAATTCTGGATACGAGTTATACCAGATGTACTGTATTGACTGCGGGAAATGGCAGTGAATCTTGATGTTAATATTCACTCGAGTTTGTGTCGTTCTTGAAGAACTTCCTCTTTGCTTGAGTTATTGTTGACATCAGTGTTCCAATTCTTCACCAGCCATTGGTATTGTAATACCGTAGTAGAAATTATTTTAACTGCAATAAAATAATGAACTTTTGTTATAATCACGTTGCTTAGTATTGAATTAGTCAGTTGATTTATTCCTTTGCAAAGCCATCACTCGGATAACTTGTAATCACTTGCGGGACGACCTGTGTGAGAGATATCAAAACATTGTGCATCAGCGATCACCGAGACTCATTCCCAGTCGGGGTTGATGAGACATGCTTTTAACCTCAGAGTAACATACATCTGTTTACTCCCATCACACTTCCTGGGAAGAGTGGATTTAATTCATATTTTGTGTTATCATCTTACAGACAAACGGGATCTATTCCAATGTTAATTCCATGACTGCTGTAAAATACGTCTCCAGGTTCACCCAAAAGATTCTCACCTTAAACTCTCTTTATCTCTATCTCTCACCTCCTTCTTTCACCAGGTTAAGAATTCCAATCAGGTATCTAAACGAACCTTATCTGTTATGTACATTTTTCAAATCATATTATGAAAAATGGTTCTCGTCCTACGTTATTGGTCTTATAAAACTTGGTAAGATTTGTGCGTGCGTGGGTCGTCTCTTCCAGGCATGGAGTTATGGCTGGTGTTAGCCAGACGGGCCTTCACATCTTCAGTGTTTGTGCAGCCTCTATTATTACCTCTTTACTAACAATTTGAATATGTAATGAGGAGGAAGAGAATATTCTTCCTCAAATCCTCAATAAATGTGTACATTATAAACGGAATATATAAGCGTGTGTCGGAGCGGTGCACCCAAACCACCTTTCTCCAGCTGGGCTGTTTCATGGGGCTATGAAGGAACTGATAAATAATTAATCTAATGGCCCAATATTCGAATCCCCATACAGGAGTCGGTATTTGACTGATATCCGGTTTAAGCTAACATTTATACAGTACTTACGTTCCCACATGAAAAAACTGACGTGATTTACTAATATCCAGGAACAATAAGAGGTAGATATGCCTTTCCTGTCATCCACTGTGTAAATAAATGACTCGGAGGGTCCACGTGGTGACGCCGATGGCGGAGTATTCGTAAATTC